AATGCAGTAAATACATTTACAGCTGAATGAGGTACGAAGGGGAAGCCATTCTGAAGAATGTACTGTCTCTCAGGCACCTGCAAGAAGTTAAATAGAATGATTGTTTAGTCACTGCGGACAGCAGCTGCAAGTGTAGCTCAACGAACCAAACAGTCAACCCAGTACCAGGAGGCCTTGCCTTCTAAGTAATGGCTGCAGACCATAACCTGCTCAGGGTCTCCTGTCACCTTAGCCCTAGTCTTCAGGTTCCAGGATTTGAGATCCCTTTGCATTGTCCGTCTCAGTCCACACGGCTCCTTCCCGATCGCTCCCAGGGGCTGGAGAGGTCTTCGTTCTTAGGAAAATGGCAAGTGCCAGGTAACAGGTGTGGGCAGGTGAGCGTGCCTTGGCTGAGAGGAGGGGGATGAGTCCTACCACAGCTCACTATCGGGTGGTCTAGGACTTCTTTCCATAGAAACGGGCCTGACCAACTTCTCTTGGGTTGCCTGATGTCCCCCGCCATCCTGCAGCTGGTAGACCCTCTGGTGTTGGTCTGTACAATTCTGGCAGTTCTGTGCTTAGCCCGTTTTCACTGGGTAAAGGCAGGGATCTGATTGGTTACTTGCTTTTTCATTTGCCTATAAGTCTGGGTGTTGAACCAAGATAACATTATATTTGACATACTAACAAAGAGAATAAAAGATCCCGCAACTCTGGGAGTAAGCCAAGCTTTCTTAGTTGGGACTCATAAAAAATGGACAAATTGGACTTCCCAGTAATTAAAAACTTCTGCTTATTCAAAGGCACTAATAAGAAACTGAACACACAAGATGTGGACTGGAAAAACTACCTCACAAAGGACTTCTCTCTGGAAGGTTCAAGGAGACCTTCTAATAGTTAAGAAATTGAGCAGTTCAGTTTAAAGAATGGGCACAAACTTGAACAGGCTCTTCTCAAAAGAGACTAGTTAGTACGCAAATGACCACTGCTAGTGAGTACATGAAAGGGTGCTCAGCATTAAAACCGCCATAAAATACCACTACGCAAATAGCCCTACAAGAAGGGCTAAAATTAAAAATATTGGCAATTACATCTACTGACAAAAATGTGGAGCAACTGGAACTCTCGCACATGGTGCCTCTTAGGAAAAAAGAGCCTGTCAGTCCCTAGAACAGTGATTTTCAACTTTCTTCATCCCAGGACACACATAAACTAATTACTAAAATTCTGCATCACACCCCAAAAATATATATTTTTTGCCAGTTTGACAAAATTAGATATACCTTTGATTGATTTACTTTTAAAAAGTTGATGATAGTAATTACGTACTCTTTTTGCTCCAAAGTGACTTTTTAAAAAACCAGGTGCCTATCCTGTATAAGAAAAGCCTAATATGCAAATTAGAAGGCAGCTATGCTCACCACTATACCACCAACGCAGCTTCTAATATGCAAATTGACTGAACCGTGGCAATGGGCAGAGGAGGGGGGGTGGGCGGCCTGCAGGCGGCACCAGGCCAGCCTTCCAGCGTGGGCCCTCCAGTCGCAGATCGGCTCTGATCACCGGCCAGGCCTAGGGACCCTGCCGTGCATTAATTTCATGCACCGGGCCTCTAGTACATGTGTATAAGGACTTCTGGTTCCAAAAATTAACCAATCAGATGCAACTTTATTATGCAATGTACCCAATAAGAAGCTGCTATATTATATATATATATATATATATATATATATATATATATATATATATATATATATATATTTCAAGACAGGGCATTGACACCAGACGGCTTTTTTTAAATTTTTTTAATTTGTCAGTCTAAGGGAAAAGAGGTCAGTGCCCCTGACTAAATAGTGAAGTATTGCATGTTTTAAAAATTCTGCAGCACTCTGGTTGAAAATCATTGCCCTAAAAAGTTAAACATTGACTTACCAGAAATTACGCAAGGGAAATGAAAACATGTGTTCATAAACGATTGGTACAAAAGTTCATAGCAGCTTTTTTTTTTTTTAATCCCAAACTGGAAGCAATACAAATGTCCACCTGCAGGTGGACAGATAAACAAATTGGAGCTTAGCCCACACAGTGGAATACCACTCAGTAGTAGCAGTCATCAATAATTCGTCCACATCATGGATGAATACCAACACCAATCTAGTAGCTGCCCAGAGCAAGGGTAGGGATGTCTGGCCCCCATGGGCTCAGGGAACTTTCGGTTGATGGAAATCTGTCTCTCGGCTGTGTGCTGTGTCTTCGTGATGGCCATGCTAGCACTGGAGTGAAATTGATCGGAACTCCATAAGCTACACACCAAGGCTGGCTTCGCGGTGTCCCCGGGAGGGCTGCCACTGCAGTGCCAGTGCACAGACACTATAAATACATAAGCATGTTTTCTCCGACCACATGCCGTTCTCAAGTTTGCCAATCCGCCTGCCAACCAGTTGGGGGGCTGGGCATCCTGTGCCTTGCCCACCATTCCGTTCTGTGCATAGCTTTTGTATGAAAGCTTAAGTCCCCCAGGAACTGACCTGTCCAGGATGCAGTGGGGCTGTGGGGATTGATTATGAATGAGCTCCTGGGAAGACTGGGCTCTGGGCCTGGAGGCCAAGGGCGTGGTGAGTCTGGATGGAAGGAAGGATCTGGGGACTTGTTCTAAAGCATCCTTTTTGCCTCGTTCGCGTGTTCATTTGGCTTGGGTGGGGTCCTGGGTGGGTATTACGTGGGTCTGAAATACTCCCCACGTTGTCTTTTAGGTTCTGCGAAATTCATGGGAGTGTCAACCATGTTCTTTTTGCTTAAGGCCTCTTTCTTTTCCTTCTTTCTCGTTTATTTCATTATACCTTTTGCACCTTCCCCCTGAGGCCCGTGGTGACGTTGAAGGATATGAAGTGCTTTCTTTCATTTCCTGGCAAAATAAATCCTGGCTCCTTACCTGTGTTTTGCTCTTGTTCTGCCCCCTTCGAAACGCCCGGTGGCTCAGGAAAGCTCCGGGTAAGAGTCACCTGGGGAGATGGGGACACGGGGAGGGCACGCTTTGGCCTGCTGTGCCACTGGCATTCTCACAGGTGGCACAGAGCCTGCCTTGCTGAGAATAAACAGGTGTGTGTTCTCAGGAAAGGGCCCTTTCCAGAAAGAGGGAGCAGAAAGGGGAAGCGTCAGCCCCCATGGCTCCTCCCGGGAGCTGCTTGCTCCCCAAGGCTTGTGGGGTGCCAGCAATACCCCAAAACTACAAATTCCGTGTCTTGGCCACTGTCCCTGTGGGAAATCAAGAGGGCAGGGCAGCGGGACCCCTGGGAGCCCTGAGTGGAACTGTGTACGTTTTTCAGTTCATCCTTCAGCTGATAGATATTTTAAGATCCGTGGGACCCATGACTGTCTTAGGAATTTCACCCCAGGAATTGCTAAACAAGTTCATTTACCTGACTCTCACGCAATGTACCTATTGAGATAAACTCTTACTCCATTATGGAGTGTAAGTAACGGGCCTCCTGCAGACAAAATAGAAAAGGGCTTGCAGAGTAAAAGCTCCTTTAGTTGTTTTTTTTGTTTGTTTGTTTGTTTGTTTTGTTTTGTTTTTTTCCCTTTTGAAACATTGTCTTCTGGAACCAGCATCATCTCTATTATTAATCACTTGTGGGGCTTTCTACTGCTTCCCATTGCTGCCTTGGAATTAAACTGCACCTAAAAAATATGAAAAATGTACATTTTAAACAGTAAAAATAAAAATAAAAATCATTTTCTAGCATAATACCCCCCAAAAAATGCCATGGAGCCATTAGTAGTAAATGGAATTCTTTGGTGTGTCCTTTGTACAAACACTGACAGGTGCGGTCCCCGCTCTCCCCCACCCCCCATCCCCCCACTCACCATTGGGTTCCGCAGACACAGAGGTAGCCATCTGCAAGGACAAGCGCTCTGATGTCATCGTCAGCCGCACACTTCACTTACCGGGGCAGGTCACCGGCGTTGCGGCTTCTGTCCCGCGGTGCCACCACCGCACCATTAGCGAACCTCGCCCCGGGGCAGCTGGGACGCTGGGCTGGGGCAGATGTTCTTTTCAGCCTATTCACTGACCGTTCTTGGGGGTTGTTTACTGTTGCCATGGTGACTTTCATTTCCATAGCAGCCGCACCGCTGCTTCTCCGAGGAAAATGAATTTAGTTATAAAAGGATAATATTTTTTTCTCTTTCTCCGGATAACCTGCCATCTGTCAACTGGTGGATCAGTCAGGATCCAGAAACCTATTAAGAATTACAGCAATGAAGTAATGAGCTTTTTTTTTTTTTTTTTTTTTTTTTTGGTCCCATATTAAAAACAATCCTGGGACAGACATTGTGCCCTCAACATCAAAACTTTGATTTTTTTAAATACATGTTTTAAGTGTGTGTGTTTTCAGTGCCTTCACCGCTGCTGTACACACACACACACACACACACACACACCTCTCCCTCCCTCTCTCTCTCTCTCTCTCTCTCTCTCTTTCTCTCTCTCTCTCTCTCTCATAAATGCAAGTTATATTCTATTGATGAGTGGAAATGACCAGCCGTCGTGTGTGCACTGGACTAGATGCAGGTGTATGTAATGTGTTCTCTTCCTGGTGCTGTGACCCTCCCCATTTCATTCAAGATTCCTGTGGCTGAACCTCCTATTGTCGCCCCACTCTCCTGCACCCGCACCCAGGGAACAAGCTGTCGGGGTGCGTGGATCAGCCCCGTCATCAGGAACATACAGTGCAAATCCTGAAAGTAGCAAAAGGAGAAGAGAGAACATGCTCTGTTTTAAAAACATAGGGACCTGCCCCTTCCATCTCTTTCTAGATCACCTTTCTTTCTCCCTCTCCAATCCAAGTGGGAAGCAAGTCACCTTGGGGAGCTAGCTCATCCAGTTTCTGGGCTTCCCCCCCCCACCCCCCTTTCTTCCTCTCTCTGTTGCATTCATAAGCTGACGTGCAGGGGAAAAAGCCACCGCCCGCACACTGGCCCCGTTGTAAATAATGTTATTTATTGGTTGACTTTTCCAGATCCTGACATTGATGCTGCCAGTGCCATGATGCTTTTGAATACTCCCCCTGAGATACAAGCAGGTTGTGAGTAGCTATTTCTATAGCCTTCAGCGCCATAGTTTGTGAACTTAACCCTCTCGTGTACACACCAGGCCATAGGGAGAACTAATGCTCCAGTAGAATCTCCCCGTAGAGTCACTGTAAGACGACCTTCGTGCGTGATGACATATGCACACGCGGCCGTGCATGTGTGTGAATGGAGGCGTAGGTGTGTCTCCACACAGGGCAGAGTTCTCATCGCACTGCAGAGCTCCGGGCTCGGGGGAAGGGAAGCGGGGCCTGTAATGAGTCCCAGCGGAGCGGTCCTCTCTGCGCCTGCAGGGACGCTCTGCGGAGATGCTCCGTGGGGCCTGCCGCTGAGCGGTGCCCGTTTTTAGAAACCCCTTCTCCCTTTGGGATCTCATTAATAGCAGGCTGCCATCGTGTAGATGGAGAGAGAGGAGAGGGTCGTCTGGCTGAGGTGGGTGTCCTGCAGGAGCTTGGATGAGCCTTGAAATGAGCCCCCCGTGGCGCCCCAGAGTCATCGGCACCAGCCTTTCCGGGTGCCGAGGGCAGGAGGGCAGGCCTGATTAGCCAACCGGAGCTCCTGTCCTCACCTTCCGCTGGCCGTGGAGCAGTATTAGGCTGGAGACAACTCTTCTTCTTTGAGCTTCTTTTCTGTCCACCTCCTTCCGTGGTTTTCCCCCTGCCCCCTACATCTGGAGCTAGACTGCCATGGTCTTAGAAAGACCTTACCAAGGGATGAAAAACGGCCCTGCTCAGAGATGTCTGTACCCTGGTCCTTCTGCCTTGAGATGAGTTCCTCTGCCCACGCCCCGCCCCCAGCCAGAAACCTGCCGAGCGGACAGCCGGCTGGTCCGCCAGGGTCTGCTCAGCTCGTGGGCAGGACATGGCTGCGCTGCAGCCTCCTGCTGAGGAGACGCAGGCGTGGAGGTGACAGGGTGAATGCAGGCCCTGCCGGGACACCAGGAGCTGGCACCCACCTGGCTCGTTCTTATGGCCGGGCCCTCACCGCTGCTGGGGCTCTGGCTCTCGAGGGATTGCGTGGCCTCCTGAAGCAAAGGGACTCGCCCACTTTTGGAGTCAGTAGTGCTCCCCACAGAAGAGCCTCCGGCCTCAGACTCGCAGCAGGCGGCCTCGGTTATGAGTGGGCCAATGGGGCGTCCCCGGCTGCCCTTCCCAGCCCTACACTGTTCACAGCCTGCCACCAGCTTGAGGAAGTTGGACTCCATCCTTTCTTACTTGTTCCTGTTTTTTTTTGTTTGTTTGTTTGGTTTTTTTGTTTTTTTTAAGATTCAAAATATATAGCCCAGCTTTCTCAGGAAGGACTTGCCCTCCATCAGGGGCTGCCCGTCCCTGCCGTTGAAGGCACAGAACTCTCAGTCTCTCTTTGCTAAACTCGGACTGTGAGCCAGGCTGCCCTCTCCTCCGAGCAGCAGACACACTGGCCAGGGCGTGGGTAACTGGCACACTCCTGTCACTGGCAGTTGACCTGTAGTGTGGCTTTTGAGCCGATGGGTGAGGTTACAGGAGAGTGTTAGCACAAAACACCTCCATTCTCAGAGGATGTTGCAGAAAGAGTACAGAGCACACTGCAGCCGAGTGGCGGCCTGAAATGGTTTCTGAGATCAAGTCACATAACTCCTCACGGGGGACACATGCTGACTTCACCGGAGCTATGAACTTCTGGCACCTTCCTTAGCACCCCGCCACTGGTCATTGGTTTAAAACAAATGCGTCTGCTGAACTGGAGGAATGAGGGGAAGAGGGAAAAGGCTCGGGGCTGGCCATTGGCAGGTCCTCCGAAGCTTCTCTCAGGACCCACAGGAAGAACAGGGAAAAGGCTTCTTTCTTTATTAGTTGGCTTTTAATGTTTTCGTGACTAAATGAACTTGTCCCCTCTCTTTCACTATAACCCTCAAGCTGTAAATAGTTATTTTTTTTCCCCCAAGATAGCCATAGCCTCACCTTGAAATGCTGAATTTGAGTTTTCAGAGCTTGGCGTCCATGTGTTGGCTCTTGGCTCATTTTCAGAGGCTTCCCTGCCTCTCTCTTTCCACTGTGAGACGCCCAGCACACCTTCATGAAGGCCTCACACCACACGGGGGGACTCCGGGACCCGGAAGGAGGAGCCAAGATGCCCACAGAAGCCGAGGAAGGAGCAGCAGAGGAATAATCGGAAGTCTGGGCAGCGGGTGGGGCACCAACTGTGTGCTCACCTTCCCCTCCGGCCCCGAACCCGGCGATGTCCCCTGGGGATCAGGATAGAGCAGTTGTGAGTGGGCTGGGAAGCCCCAGAGATTGGAGCCTTGAGGTCTGCCCTGGGCACTGGGGAACCAGGCTGGCTGCTCCTCCGCCTCCTGTACCCACAGTCTCCACATCGGCTCAGGTAGCTCTTATCTGCCTCGGTCTTCCTTTGCCTCCTTTTATGTTCATGCTGCGTTGCATACTGTTTCTGACCTGGGATGTGGTCCATACGGTACCCTGCCTCCCAGAGGGAGAAGTGTTAGAGTCATATCACGATGATGCCTCCTAACCCCACCCAGCCAGCTGCGCCCGAGGCCTCGGAAAGCGAGAAGGGATTCCTTGGCAGAACGGGCCAGAGGCAGCAGCCACCGGCCAGCCTGCACCTCCTAGCTGTCCCATGCTCCTGTGTGAACGCGACCATCAACCTGGTCTGTCTGCCGCTGTCACTCCCAGCTGTACGAGGCTGGCCTGGGCAGCCTGAAAGCCTTTCCCTTTCTCATTGTACTTGGGCCACCGGACAGCAGCCACTTAGAGCTTTGTCTCTCGTCCTGCCCTTGCTCAGCACCTGCAAAGCCAGCTTGGGGCTAGCAGACAGGCCACAGCCCAGCGCCTGAGCTGAGTACTAGGTCATAGAAAATAAATGACTCAAGAAGCCAGAGAGAGCCCAGTCAGCAAGCCCCTTGATCTCTGGGGCGTCCCTCACAGCCCTGGGGAGCTCCGCCTGCTGGACCCCCTTGGGTCTCTCGGCCTTCCATTGCAGCCAGGTGCTTCCCTTCCAAGGAGACAGCCATGCCGCTCATTAACCCCTCAGGCTCCAGCATGGCCTTGTGGGCCGTTCCCACCAGCAACACCAGCGGTGACACTGTCTTTTCTGTGCATTGCCAGTTGGCAGCCTGGGTAACATTCTGCAAGGAGGCTGCGCTGTCTCCCATGCTGGATAGGACACTCGAGAGGACTCGCCTTCTCCAAGAATCAGGGCAGAACATTGCTACAGCACCATCTCTTCCCCTCTGGGTTATGCTTCTAGGCCAATGGTCGGCAAACTCATTGGTCAGCAGAGCCATAAACTCATTAGTCAACAGAGCCAAACTTAACAGAGCCATATGTCAAAAGTACAACAATTGAAATTTCTTTTTGAGAGCCAGATTTTTTAAACTTAAACTTCTTCTAACGCCACTTCTTCAAAATAGACTTGCCCAGTCCGTGGTATTTTGTAGAAGAGCCACACTTAAGGGGCCAAAGAGCTGCATATGGCTCGAGAGCTGTGAGTTGCCAACCATTGTTCTAGGCAAACCCATCCAAACATCACCCCAAAATGGCTCTGTGGACTAACCCCAGCTCCTAGAGTCTGCTAAGCCCCGGCATGGCTGCTCCTTGACAAGCCCCGTGAGTCACCCGGAACCCCGCTTGGGGAACTGTTGGAAGCCAGGAACCAGGTCACCATTACTCATCTTCAAAGCCTTACCTAATCCCGGTGGGAACGTTCCCAGAGAGGAAGTCCAGAGAATAAACACAACAGCCATGCGCGTGCCTCCAGCTCCCTGCTTGGAGCCGGAACAGACCGGGCCCACCGGGCATCGGGAAAGAGAGACAGCCAGGAAGTCAGCGCCCCTTGCAGGCTCCTCCCCGTGTCCTTCCTTCCAAGTGAGCAGGTGGAGGCTCCCGGAAAAGGGAGGACGTGATCACCTGGCCGCTCGGCTTGTGGCCTCGGGGGGGCAGCGTTCGCCAGGGCTGCCCTCCAAAGGCGGCAGCGGGAGCGCAGGTTAATTTTAGAAGCCGTGAGAGCCAAGGAAGCTAAGCATCAGGGAGACCAGGAAGTGGGGGGGGGTGGGGGCAGCTTGGAGGGAATCTGTCTTGTGCCACAGACTTTTTTTTTTTTTTTAATCAAGATGATCACATTCCACATGCTGCTGCTTGAGGTCCTCTCGTTTGGGTGTGAGCGTTGCTTTCCTGCTGGTTAAAAATAAGGAAGTTCAGGCGAAACCGGTTTGGCTCAGTGGATAGAGCATCGGCCTGCGGACTGAAAGGTCCCAGGTTCGATTCCGGTCAGGGGCATGTACATTGGTTGCGGGCACATCCTCGGTGGGGGGTGTGCAAGAGGCAGCTGATCGATGATTCTCTCTCTCATCTAACTATCCTTCTCTCTTCCTCTCTCTAAAAAAAAATCAATAAAATATATTTTAAAGAATTATTAAAAAAATAATAATAATAATAAAAATCAGACAGTTCAGAGCCAGTCTGTTAACGTAAGAGAAAGGGGCGGATCGGCCCAGGTGCTGATGTCGTTGGCACCCGGTTCCTGCAGGTTGAGAGTCTCCAGGTGTGTGCATCTTCTCACCCGTAAACGCCGAAAGGGATGGTGCTGGAGCCTGTCTTCTCCAGCGAGAACCACGGATCCGAGCTGGCCATTCCTGGTGATTTTAAATGTCCAGTTTCTATTCCATCTTCTCCAGCAGCAGCCTCGGTGTCACCCAGGTCACCGGGCGGTGCACTGGCCGGAAAGGGCTTTTCGTGTTTTGATGGACTTTGAGGGAAACATAGAGTAAAAGGAGCAGAAAGCTAGACTTGCTGAGAGACAGAGAGAGAGCGAGCGAGCGCAAGTGAGAGCTGAGGATTGGGCCTCGTGCTCCTTTAGGATCCCAGAATCAAACACGGGCCTCCGGATGCCTTTCTCTCACCTTGACCTTAACCTGCCTGGGATCCGTTTTCAGAAGCTGTTGTTCTTGACACCGGGGATGGGGACAGAAAGGAGAAGCGATGGGGAACAGTTCCGTGTCACAGCTGGTCACTGGCAGTCAGAGAGCAAATGGGAACAGATCCGCCATGCGGCCGCCAGGAGCCTGCCAGGGATGGGGACTGGGCGATGCCGGGGTTGGCAGGGGCCACCGCGATCCGTTGCAGCTCATTTGCGAACGAGCTCGGTACTCAGAGAGCCTGGCTTCCGTGCCAGGAGTCCCGGGAGGTTCAGGAAGTAGCTGAGGGGAAGCCTTTTGATGCTGCGGGGTAGCTGTGTCCTGAGATTCTCTTTGAAGCGAACGAGGTTCCTTAAACAGGAGGATGTTTTAAGGGGTGCATGCAGAGGAGGGGGTGACTACAAACAGCATGAGAGGCTGACCGGATGTCCTCTGTCCTGACCTGGGCAGGCCCTGGGCCTTACAGATCATTGATAAGAGGATGGCAAAGAGGTGAGGTGGGATGGCGGGACGAGGCGATGATCGGATGGGCCAGCTTCGGAGCTAAGCCATTTATGTAACTTGTCTTACTTAATCCTCAGAACAGTCCAGTGAGGCATGTTTGTGCATGTTTGCAGTGGAGAAACTGAGGCTCAGAAAGGGTGAGGCACTTGCCCGAGGCCACAGAGCCCGTGCTGGGGCAAGACTTTGGGCGGAGGCCCTGCTGCCCAGAGTGTCCACCTGCCGATGCTGGACCCTTCATCCATGAAGCAGCTTCCTCAGTTCCCTCCCTGTTGGGTGTGCCCCTGATGCCTCAAGGCCTGGACACTCGGACAGAGGATTCTGGGCACAGGCACCGTTCTCGGGGCTGCTTTTCTCTCCTTCAACTGGCAGGTGATTCAGTGGTTACGCCAGAGTGCCCGAGAGGCTCCCCACCTGCTCTCTCTCCGTTCCAGGCTCCCCAGTCCTTGTCCCTAGATGACAGGATATGGACAGGGGACAGAAGCCACATAAGAGAGTTGTTGCTCTTTCATTTTAGAGATTTTTTATTGTGGGTGTGGGTGTTTTTTTATCCCTATCCTGAAGATGTGTTTTCATTGATTTGAGAGAGAGAGAGAGAGAGAGAGAGAGAGAGAGAGAGAGAGAACATTGATGTGAGAGAGAAACATCGATTGATTGCCTCCATTCATGCCCCAGCCAAGGAGGGGACCCACAATCCAGTATGTCCCCTGACCAGGAATTGAACCCACAACTTTGTGGTGTACAGGATGATGCTGCAACCAACTGAGCCATCATCCAGGACTTGTTTTGCTCTTAACGGGCTTTCTGCTCACAGTCGGTCGCTTCAGGATCGCTCTGTGGGTGTTGGTGATAACAATAATACTGATAACCCGTGATTTTCTAAATAACGGTGTCTGTATTAACTCAGTTAAATCTCCAAATACTCTGTGAGATAAATACCAAGTTTTGGCCCCATCCTAAGTAGTTTTTTCAGGGACATAGGCAGTAAATGGCAGAGATGGGATGTGCATACCCAAAGTTGTTCGACACCAGAATCTGTCTCTCGGCCACAGTGTGTAAGACCACACTCCTCCTCAGGACACGGTAATGGGTTTCACAGGATCTGAGGGATAAAATCCATTCCTGCCAGAACTGGCTGCTTGAGCAAAATTACTTTTTCATTCCTGTGCACAGTGTGCTTTTTATCACTCCCAGGCCTTCTATGTGTTATTCCTCCACCTACAGGAAGTCTTCCCAGATACCCCTTACTCTGGATTAGATGTCTTTCATGTCTTAGTGTATTTTCATTGCCTCTAATTCTCTTTCCGTCCCACTTAAACTGCAGTCCCGCTCTCCTCTTCGCCTAATACATAGGCAGGTACTTGTAAAAGATTGAATGTATTAATTGCTATGATCTGTATATGGAACTGGAATAATTTTTACTGTCAAGAATGCTAACTGTGCAGGCTCTAAAAGTATTTATCGGGTGGTCTGTTCTGTCAGACTCCTGCTCTTGATGAGGTATTAGGCAGTATTATCAGAATTAGACTGCATCTGTGGTTATTTGTGCCATACAGCAAAATATTATGAAACCCGTTCCCTCTGTCTGCAAAACCCAGAGTTCTGCTGGTTTTGCATGTCTTTCCTTGAGAACTCTTAGTATTTTTCCCTATATTTTCTTCTCGAAGTCATAAGATATAGTTCTTACATTTAGGTTTATGGTTCGTTTCTAAATAACTTTCATGTATGGTAAGAGGTTAAGATCAAAGTTATCTTTTTCCCCAAAAGGCTCTTCGATTGTTCTGATTCTCCTTTCCCCCATGGTGTTGTTTTGATGCTTTTGTCAAAAACTAGTTGACCAGTCTGGCTCAGAGGTTCAGTGTCAACCTGTGAACCAGGAGGTCATGGTTCGATTCCTGGTCAGGGCATATGCCCGGGTTGTGTGCTCGATCCCTAAGAGGGGGTGTGCAGGTGGCAGCCAATTGATGATTATCTCTCATCATTGATGTTTCCTTCTACCTCTTCCTCTCTGAAATCAATAAAATCACATTTAGAAAACAAAAAACTCCAGTTCACCACATGTATGTGGATCTAGTTATGGAATCCAGTTTGTTGCATTGTTTTCAATGACTATACGTAGGCCAATACCACACTGCCTCGTAGCTTTATAGGAAGTCATGAAATCAGAGCATATAGATCAAGTAACATAAATTTTAGCCACTCTTTCTTATAGAGAACTCATCAACCAAGCCATTTATGGTAATTAGCTGTAGTATCACGTTGTAACCGGTTTCATGCTTTGAAAATACTTGCTGAGCGAAGACCGGTTTGGCTCAATGGATGGAGCGTCGGCTTGGGGACTGAAGAGTCCCGGGTTCGATTCCGGTCAAGAGCATGTACCTTGGTTGCGGGCATATCCCCAGTGGGGGGTGTGCAGGAGGCAGCTGATCGATGACTCTCTCTCATCGATGTTTCTAACTATTTCTCTCCCTTCCTATCTGTAAAAAATCAATAAAATATATTAAAAAATAAAAAAAGAAAAGAAAATACTTGCTGAGTCTCCTGCTTTAGATGTTCTGTTATCTGAAATCTGGCTAATAGAGAGGAACAGGTAGGAGTTCTTGGTCTGGTTAAGCCTAATGTCACAATTAAATATGGTAAGAAACAGCACTGGTTTTAATGTTATCTCCCTCCCCACCTTTTATAAAAATTAGTAACCAGAGCCGTATGCACCTGGCAGGCATGGCTCCATTGGTTGGGTGTCATCCATGCACCAAAAGGTTGCCAGTTTGATTCTCTGTCGGGGCACACGCCCAGGTTGCAGGCTCAATTCCCATTGGGGGGCATGTAGGAGGCAGCAGATCGAGGTTTTCCTCTCACATCATTGTCTCTCTCTCTCTCTCTCTCTCTCTCTCTTCCTCTTCCTCTTCCTCTTCCTCTTCCTCTTCCTCTGAAAATTTTTTAAAAAGACAAATTTTAGAAGGAGAGCCTATGCACACCTGTAAGATAAATGGCAGAAATACTAGCAAGACCTCCAGAATGCCCAGGGAATCAGTCTATAATGTTACTCCATATTCAAGAGTGGAAATTCATCCTACCTGGTTAAAGGTTTAGAATACTCATGTAAACCTGTTTTTAAAGACCTAAAATTTAAGTAAGTGAAAAGTATGTTCGTGTTTTGTAGAAAGTGTTTGTTCTATACAAATAATATTGGCTTTAGCAACTTAATATCCAGAGTTGGAATGTGTAATTTTTCAGGGGTTTTGGGGTGGGGTAAGGGCTTTGAGAAAGCACAGCCACTCACGTTGGCCTGAGACTGCGCCAGGGGCTCCAGGGACTCTTCGGATGATGACGGCGGAAGGGCTCCTGGTGGGCACCGTTCAAAGAGGGAAAGGGACTGGGATGTGCACTGGGTCCCACAGGAAGAGCTAACAGAAGGCCCAGGTGTGCAGTGTCCTCTTGTGAAGCACACCTGGCACCATAGGTACATGGAAGGTGCTGGTAGGTGCCGTGAGAACATTAGCTTGAGCCAGATGAAGCTGCCGTTGGGTGGTCAGGAAAAAGTCAGATGTCAGGGGTTCCCTGTGTTACCCTGTGAGGTAAGCCCTCGGACACATCAGGTGGGAGCCCACTGTGAGTGTGTTTGGAAAATGGGCAGGATCCGATGGCTGCTGGCGGGGTTGGCTGGGTTGGTTGGAGAAGGTGGACTGTTGAGAGGCCCCAGGAGGTTTGCCTGGGGGGGAAGCCTCGGGAAGGACCAGGTGGGGCCCTCGGAGAGGGCTCCGGGCGCCTGCAGCAGAAGCCAGGGCCCAGCCCTCAGCCCCGAGTTCCAGTGACAGCCCGGGCAGCGGGGATGAGCTGTGCTGTGAGTGCCCAGATGCCTCGTAGAATCTGCTTTGCAGTTATTTCTGTCTGTTCCCTTGTTGCACTGAGGACAGGAAGGTGTTCTTGGCCTCTGAGCAGGGTGGGAGAGAGGCTCCGTGTCCTGAGACCTTGTTAGGGCCTGGCTAGAGTGAAAGCTTGTATTTAGTAAATGCAAGGGAATAATGCCTGAAGCCAACTCTCCGAAACGCCTCTCCTCACAAGGCATCAGTGATTTGGTTATAAGATGCTGGTCTCACCTGGCTGACAAGTCTTTTCTTGGGGCATGCTGTCTTTCTGTCGCACACTATCTTGGTGTCTGTGCTTTTTTTCTTGGCCTCTGCTTGCTCTCTATGCTCTTAACTAATCTCTCTCTCTCTCTCTCTCTCTCTCTCTCTCTTTCTCTCTCTCTCTCTCTCTTTCTCTCTCTCTCTCTCTCTGTCTCCCTATCCAAAACTTCTGACTCGGAATGAAATCTTCCCAGTTGACCTCACCTGTGGTGTCTTCTTGTCGCCCTTGCAGTTCCGCCAGGAGTGATACAGAACGGAGCGCGGGTTCTGAGCCGAGGGCTGTTCCCCGGGGTCCGGCCATTGCCAATCACGCCCATTGGGATGACGGCCGCTGTGAGGTAAGGGGCGCTGGCTGGGCAGAGCCTGCCTGGGGCGTGGGAACGGCATCATGGGTCCTGCGGGGCCACTCGGTGGGATGGAGAGAAACAGCCCCAAAGTAGCGAAGACAACAAACCTGGTTTGGGTGTTTAAAAAAGTAACTTGAAGTGACTTCCAGTGACTCCAATCCAAACACCAGCCTCCCCTTCATGGCCTGTCAGATGAGATGAAGACAGAACAATTGAGTGGGAGTTTTTATTCTAAGAAAGCAGGGTAAGGTGGGTAGAAGGAAATGGTGAGCAATTGGTTTGAGATCCCAGCGGGCAGGCCTGGCTGTGGGTGTCTGCGCCAGCGTGGCTGTCTGCTCCAATTGGCTCTGCTGCCTCGCTGCCCACTCCCTTCACCCAGCCACCACCAGCCATCGGCAGAACCTTCCAGGTCTCCCATCGCATCACCCAACACCCACCCCGTCCTCCCGTCTCCTGGAGCCAGATTTGTTTCCCAGATGTATCCAGGTTTTGCCCATCTTATTCAAGCTGTGTCCTCCATGTAGATTTCCCACAGCCTCCTCACACAAGACATGATCCCTTCACAAGTCCTTTCTGAACTCGGCGTCCACTACAGGAATTAGAGATGAAGAGGCATTAGGATGATAGAGGAACACCAAGCGCACTGGGAGGGGATCTCTCTTCTTCCTCCACTCCGTCCCAGTGTCTCTGTGGCACCCCCTCTTGAACAAGCCTCATATGGAGCAGGTGGTACAGCAGAAATGTGGCTGCCACAGCCCAGCCCTGGCCCCTCTACAGGAAGCACTACAGAAGGGTGGCTTTGGGTTGAGTGACAATAGCTTCCTCAAAGCCTGCCCACAACCAAAGCACCATGGTCTAGGAGTGCCCTTCCTGAACTCATAGGAGTTTAGAGCAGAATCGTTTCGGTATCCAACCACAATTTTTCAGAAACTAGACAAGTTTCCATTGCCATGGAGGTAACCAGTTAAAACCATCATCCCACCCCAGTTTTAAGATAAACTGGGCAGAGATGTATTGCAAGCTCTGTACGATAAAGGACCCTTGCTCTCTTTATGTTCCCAATGCCTGGCAAATAAGCACTGAGATGCTTTGGGAGAAAACAACACACATAAATATACGTAGATATTTGCAGAATCGGTGTCTAGGTAAAACTCATTAAGAAGGGTTTGGGCCGGGACCGGTTTGGCTCAGTGGATAGAGCGTCGGCCTGAGGACTGAAGAGTCCCGGGTTCGATTCCGGTCAAGGGCATGTACCTTGGTTGCAGGCACATCCCCAGGAGACAGCTGGTTGATGTTTCTCTCTCATCGACGTTTCTAACTCTCTGTCCCTCTCAATTCCTCTCTGTGTAAAATCAATAAAATATATTTAAAATAAATAATAAATAAATAAATAAATAAATAAATAAATAAATAAATAAAAAGAAGGGTTTGGGGGAGTCCTGGCCCAGGTGGCTTAGTTGGTTGCAGTATCATTCTCTCCTGATGCCACCAGATTGCTGGTTCAATTCCCGTCAGGGCAGAAGCCCGTGTTGTGGGCTTGATCCCCAGAAGGAGGGTGCAGTAGGCAGCCGTGCATTCTCACATCGATGTTTCTCTCTCCCTCTAACCCTTCTCTCTACAAAAACTCAGTAAACTATTCTTTAAAAAGAAAAAGTGTGTGAGGGAGAAAATCTTCTCTGTTTTGTTCTTTCACATTCGTTATAATTTAAATTTCATTTTGGTTTGGCCATGTCTCCATAGAACCAGACTCGGCTGAGGTTGAAAGGAAAACAGCTAGCTGAAACTGGTTTGGCTCAGTGGGTAGAGCGGCGGCCTGCAGACTGAAGGGTCCCTGATTCGATTCCGGTCAAGGGCATGTACCTTGGTAGCGGGCACATTCCCAGTGGGAGGTGTGCAGGAGGCAGCTGATCAGTATTTCTCTCTCATTGATGTTTCTAACCCTCTATCGCTTTCCTTTCCTCTCTCTAAAAAATCAAGAGTATATTTTTCTTTTCAAAAAAAGGAAAACAGCTAAGCGTGAGTAAAACAACAGCAGACGTTCTTTGCCACATCACGTGGCGGTGACCAGATGTGGGTGCTGGGGGGGGGGGGCCGCAGATGTTTGCTCGGGTCGTGGGCCACTGTCCCTGTCAGCCCAGCTGCAGCCGGAGGGAGGCCAGGGAGTCGTTAGCACTCACTAAAGACCGATTTCCCCCCTCTGCTTCGTGTGACAGCTCTTCTGTGTGAGTCTAAGAGACTTCTCCTTAAGTGAAAATATTTATCTTTCAGGGATTTTTTTTCCCCCTCCACTGAGTGGCAAAGGCCATGTTTGTCTTAACTCCAAAACCATTATTGACTTAGATGAAGTGTTACTTTTATTAGCTGATCATTACACAGCTTATATTTGCTGGGTTCCCTTGCATATAATTATGATGTGAAATCTCCTTGTAAGAGTATCTGTCAATAGTGTAATTGACTTTACAGTGTTGACTTTTTACTCAATAACCTCAGAGATTGGCCCATCCGTACACGTTGGAATCCTGCTTGTTTTTAAATCTGCTTGGGCGTAGAGTCCTCAAGACACATGATCCTCAAAATAACTGCTCACACGTCTTAAAGTTTTATGCCTGTGTCTTCTGGTGCTTTCCCGGTGGGGTTTCTTTACAGAGAATGCATTGAATGCAAGAAACAGCTATCGCCCTAGAGGAACTGTTTCTGGCCCTCTTGAGAGACGGGAACCCTAGATTCCTTCCATTAATAGCATTATGGGCTGCCTCCCAGGTAGGGTCCCTGGATCTGAGCCACCTTGCTTTCAACTATTAGGGGGGTTTTTTTTTGGCCCCAAGGAACCACTCAGGAGACAGAGAGGACTTGAATGTCCAGGGCTTGCCAGAGGAATTGGAGACACCTGATGGGAGTGGGGTTCTTCATAGGACAACAAAGCCCAGAAATTGCACACGTGAGCTTGGGAAACCAGTTTCCTGAGTTCATATCCTGTGACCTAGGGCAAGTGGGCCTGGCAGAATCAGCACCTGCCTCAGGGTAAACACGGATGTGCCTGGCACGGAGCATGCGTTATGCAGGTGCTTGATAAATAAGTGGAAAAACAGCCCGATTCAGAAATGGGCAAAGAACTTGAATGGACATTTCTCCAGAGAAGATGCACAAAGGGTCAGTAAGCAGCATGCACATGAGGAGATACTCAGCATCTCTGTTCACCAGGGAAATGCAAACCAAAATTCCAGGGAGATACCATTTCACACCCATTAGCAGGGTTCCTATAAAAAAAAAAAACACAGAAAATAGCAAGTTTTGACAGGGAATCCTTATGCACTATTGGTGGGAATGGAAAATGGTGCAGCCACTGTGGAAAATAGAATGGCCACATGATCCAGCAATTCCACTTCTGGGTACATACCCAAAAGAATTGAAAGCAGGATCATAAGGAGATGTTTGTACATCCATGTTCATAGCAGCATTATTCACAATGGCTAACGTGTACATTCGACCCACGTGTCCATTAACAGATGAATGTGGTATATCCACTCATGGAATATTATTTAACCTTCTAGGAAGGAAATTCTAACATAGGCCACAACATGGATGTACGTTGAGGATATTAAATTGAGTGAAACCAGTTACAACAAGGCAAATAGTGAGTAGTCAGAATTATAGAAAGTAGAATGGTGGTTGGCAGAACTGGGAGGAGGAGAGAGAAACAGAGTTATTGTTTTAATGGGTATAGAGTTAGAAATTTACATGAAAAGTTCTGGAGATGGATGATGGTGATGGTAGCATAGTATTATGAGTGTATGGACGTTTGTGGGGGAGGGAGTAAAATTAATGTGGAGAGGTTCATGGATTTATCTAGCTTGCCCTCCATAGGTCTTCCCAGGTCACTTTTCTGAGAACCCCAAACTCCAGGAGAAGGCATGTGCTACCTTCAGAACTGCACATTTGGGGTGAAACCATTAGTCTTGAGGGATGATGGCAGCAGGCAGGATCACAAGTCTAAACCATAGCATGTTACAAAATTAGAAGGCCAATTTAAGGTACTTCATTTTAATTGAGTCGCTTAGACCTCAGTTGAAACTTCAATTTCCATGGTCCGTGAAGCAAGTCAGGAATTGATGGTCCTGTTATAAGACAAAATACTAACATTTAAGGTCCTGTCCAAACAGTCGTCAGGAAAACCAAGGCAACTCTCTTAGACTTTCCCCTGGAGAAGATGTTTGTAAAAGGTGTGGAAAGCCTGTAGCCTTCGGTACTAAGATGGGATGTGGTCTGACTATGCAGCTTATGGAAAAATTTGCCACTGGTCCTTTGTTGTGTTGTGTTGTGTTTTTACAGATCAAACATCTGTCAGCTTTTGTCTTCTGAAATCATGGTCTTTGAAGCCACGTCTGAACCTCAGGATTAGATTAAGCTGAGTTTGTGCTGGGAGGGAGAGGAGGAAATACTAAAGGGAAAGAGATTAAAGGCAACGAGAAAAGAAGCACCAGGAGGACAGAGCGTGCGCTTGAGTTCTCACTGAACCCCCTGTCTCTGCTTCTTGTCTCTGCTTTCACCTCCTCTGGGCCAGAAATCTAAGCATGTGAAATTTGATCATTCTAGGGTTGCTTTTCGTATTTTAAATCAATGGCATTGGTTAAAGCGTCCTGCTGGCTTTTTCTGTTGTATCTGATAATGCTCAGAGCCCCTGGTCATTCTGGGCTGTGCCATGTACAAAACAACGGATGGAGGAGAGTCTTAGAATGATTGTGTGTGTGTGTGTGTGTGTTCTGTGATCTAATGTAGAGAGGGAGTCACAATTATCTCAGTGGTTTAGGAGACTATATGCAGCTCATGGGAGAAAATTGTGCCCCGAACCCCAACCTGGAGCTGACCACTGAAGCAGAACTGGCATTGTGGAACTTGTGTTTCCTCTGGAAGTGCTAACCAGCATCATAGCCCCTGGACCTGCTCACATTACACTATTCTTGTAATTATAAAACACCAACTCACCGCCCAAC